ACGTTTCATTTTATTTATCATTTTAGGTTTGTGTTCACAAATTAAAAAAATATTTAGTTTGTATATTTTCCAGATAATACACATCACTACATATAATTTCAACCAATATAAAATTAGAACAGCATATAAAATTATTAAATTTTGCATTAAATCATAAAAGAACACTTATTTTGAAAGAAAAGTTTATTATATAATGATAACTAAAATGAAACGAAAGAAATATGAGACTAAAAAAATAGGAGAGGTTTTACTTCGATGGCTGATTAGTCATATTATTATGGGATTGCCCTACGTGAGAATTACAAATCTATACGACGTGACCATATGTAGAGTTACCAATTTCCTATTGAAATGGAATTGAATTAATCCGTGGCTTGGACCAAGAAGGCGACCCTTCATTCAGTAAAACCACTAAACCACCACAATATAGTTATTATATGAGACTTCTTGTAATATTTTCTACAGTTGAAGAAATTTTTGTCTTAGAAATTTAAGTCTTAGTCAGAGACTCGTTTTGTACTAGAGGTTCTGATGGATTTTGGCCCTTCACTTTAGTCAGTAACTCAGTCAGTTTTTACTCTTTACCAATCATTTTTTGGATTAATCTGAGGGTTCGCATTTATGGAAGAATTCATACTAACTCACAAATAGGATGTGCAACTCACAAATAGACTTTGTCTTTAGATTTTCAAATGAAACCCAAAACATAATTCCATATCCGCATAGCCAAAAATTGAAGTTTAATGGAATATCTTCGAACACAGATTGTTTAGCTCTCTGGAATTTGTTTACCATTAAACCACCACTTTGTGATTTACTCTTTACAAATCTAATTGAAAGTTTAGCACTTTTAACTGCTATTTGTGATTGAAGTATTACAAACCAACTATACGAACCATTTAACTTTGATTATGACATATAATAAGTAAATCTTGTTAGGCACCTTAAATCTTGTTGACCACAATTTATATAATACTGTTTATTTTAAAAAATATTCTAAGCAAAGAATATAGTTAGAAAATTGGTTAATGTGTTACTTGAACAAATTAAGTATATACCTTAAGGTCAATTTTAATTATTAATGAAAGAATAAAAAGCAGTGGCATAGCAATGCAAATAAACTGAAAAACTAAGGCAAGATCATTTTTATGATCATGCTTTAATAGTATAGATTTATTAAAGATTATTTTTCGGATATTATTTAAAGATTTGATTTAGTTGGATGCAGTTTTTTTATTTAAAGTTCAAGCTTTGGATTAAACTTCCTTTATGGTTTGATTTAACTGGATCTTGGGAAATTCTGGAGTAATTATTGAGTTGAAGGGCTTGGAGTTTTCACAATTATTTTTAAAATTAATTATATTTTAAGAAACTAATTATATATTTTTTGAAATTTAAAAAAAAAATAGTTGTTATCAATGTTATCCCCTATATATTAATCTTGGAACATTACAACATTTTTTTGTAGCCACGTGTCACAATAAGAATGATTTTCAGATTTCTTACAGAAATATGTTGGTCCAACTAACATATGTTATATTTCTATTAAACTAACTATCATATTTTATTAGTAGTGTACAAAAAAAAATATTCTCTATTTTTTCCTTAAATTGAAGCTACGAAATTACCTAATATGATAAACATATATATTACAATTAATGATTATGAATAATAAATATTTGATAAAAAAATTTTATCCTCTTTACTTTTTATTTAATTTTATATTATTAAAAGAAATTAAACAATCACATTAATCATATAATAAAAAATATATGTTATATTTTTGATTTTTATAAACAACCATAAATTATTAAAATTTGTAAAAGTCTCACATTGAAAATTGTTTGATCAATAGTAATGTTTTTTTAGTTCAGCCAATCATTTTTTAATGGGTGTTAAATAATTTATAATGATTTACTAATTAAATGGATCACATACATAATAGAATGTGTTTTGGTTTAAAAATTGTTGCATACCAAAAATCAATAAGAACCATCATCCCTTTCGTTTAAAATTTAGTTACAATAAAAAATATAGCGTTCGGCAAAAAAACTGAATTAAAATAACCGAACTAAATCTAATTCAAAAAGTAGTACATATCTTTAACAAAAATTGGTTAGATATCTAAACGGATTCAAAATTTTGGTATCTAGAGAATCAAAACTAATTCGAAATATTTCAGGTATCCGAGCGTACTCAAACCAGATTTATATACTAAAATATATTAATTATTTTTAAGTTTAACATTTAAGAATATACAAAATTCATGAGATGTTTAAGATTTTCCAAAATACTTAGAAATATATAAAATAGTTAAATGTACATTTTTAAAATAGCTAAACGATATTCTAAACTAAAAATACTTGAAATATTTATTGATTTTTTTTTCCAAAGATTTAAGATCAACCAATTTTATGTTAAGTTTAAGTCTTTTGGCATTCATTTTTCAAATTTATATGTTATATATTATTTTTATTTTTAGATTTTGAGAAATTTGAAGTATATATGAATTTTAATCTTTAAAAAAAAAAATGGTATCCGAACCTAAAGCCAAACCGAATCTTTAAAGATTCGAACCAAACCCGCAAAGATCTAAACCAAACATAGTCTAACCAAAACAAATGGTATCCAAATGTCCATCTTTAATCAAATTTAAAAAAAAATTATTGATAACAAAATATACTTTTAAATATAACATATTTTTTAAAAAGCTCACTCTCTGCATGGCACGGATTGTCATCTAGTTAGATACTAACCCCTAATTCTAGTTGTCTAGTTTTAGTTTCTAGCATAGAAAAATCAATCTCTTGTTCAAGGATTTGACTTCCCTTAGGGATGAAGACCGATTTGGAGTCGGAATTACAATTGGCAGGGATCGAAGGCCTGCATCCTACTCGGAAACAAGGGTAATGTCTTCCTTGACTATTTATCCCTCAATAGTGTTCTTAAAAGTTCTCTGCAAAGAACCATTTTTACTTTCCCTTTCCTCCTTAAATTTTTTAAATATTTATATATATAATGTTTAATATTTGTGAATTACTTATTTGGGATTAACTATTTGGTTCGGGTTTCAAGACTAATCAACAAGTAACTGATTTGGCTCCCGCGAGAATGCCAGTCCCCTTGCATCAGGCAGGTGTGGACCAAGAAGACAATTGACCGTAAAATCAGTAAATGATTGTTACAAGGTGAGAAGAACTTGGTGCCTAGTGAAAATACATTTAGGAGTAGACGTTGATCCCAAATCAGTTTTTTAGAAGAAATCTGAATGGAGACGAAGAAGCTTAATCTGAGATTGGTGAGGTCCACAATTCAGCTATATGTTGTCAGTTCCTTATCAAATTGAAAAGAAAATATAGGAACTAATATACTAGATAAACATTGTGTGGTACATATTTTGTCTTTACCTAAGAATAGATTATGTCATTCTCACAAAAACATAAATGATTTTGGGGTTTTATAGCTGAATGATTTGAGAGACATAATCAACATATGTTGAGTCATGCAAGTTGGGTAGATTATGAATTAGTCCATATCAACTTGTGTGTGACATCGTCGGTGTAATTCAGATTAACGAATGGTACATAGTATTGTTTAAGAGATTTATTATAAAGATGTATGTGTTCTCATACCTTTTGTCTTCACTTAATTTTGATTCTACATATATGTTTATTGTTTCAAATCGAATTTCAATCCAAATGGAAAAAGTTTCAAGGATATTTAGAGTTCGAAGGGGCTCAGCATCAGAGTTTTCTATATCTACTTTTTGGGAGTATATTTATGTACTTTCTTATGATCACAATGGATCATATTCACATGATTTCCTACTAACCTAGATTCTCTTACGATTTTGAATATGATGAGTAATGTTCTCATTTATTATCTTACAAATTTTGGATTTTGGTCTTCTTTCTTTCTATAGTGATTTTAATATAAAAAGTTGGTTGTAGTCTATTTTTTTTTTTTAGGTTTGATCTTTTATGAATGTCTGGAGTAATGTCTTCACCATATCCAAATGGTTAAAGTGCAAATTTGGATTTAGATAGAGTTTTGAGTTTTCATCTTGGAGACCGGATCAATATGGAAGCAAGTACTGTTTGAGCTTCTTGTGGTCAATTGTAATTGTAGATGGATTGCAAGGATTGATTGAAATGGTGAAATCTGGAAAAGAACAATGTTTATGATCATCAACATCTCAGCCCATATGTTTCACAACCCAATTTATGGGGGAGCTTGGTCTGTTTGACCAGCCTTCTAACAATCTCTGATGGATTAATCAGTTTCTTTTACTGATATCCATATGCCTTCAATGCTGTATCTTTCTATTTTGAACAGAAAACCAGGCTCTTGTTTACCGGTGGGTTCATCAGGTTCAACATCACCACCATCATCACATGAAAAATGTTTCCCCTTCTGCCTACAAGTGAGGGAGTCTATCCAAGTCTATAACCGCTTTGTCATCTTGTATAGCGGTCGATACGGGCCAGAAGAAGGACTTGTTTCAGCGACATTCGGAGGTGCAGATTGGGTTTCAACTTCTTGAGTTAATTTGACTAAGTTTCAAACCGTAGATCTTATCTTGACGTATTCGAACCTTTCTTGAATTCAATGTCTTACTATCTTAGAGGTTTCTCTGCTACTACCATTTATGTATTATGTTCTTATGCTTGTAATGCTAAGATTACTTATCCTTGTAGTAAGAATGTTTAAGGTTTAATGAAAGTGGTGTAAAAGCAAAAAGAACAATGCTGATGTTTTTGCCCGGCGATGGAATAGTGGTGGATTATATCAGCTGGCTGCGTATGTGTCAAAAAAAAACTATCATCCCATGTATCCATATGTGCATTGGAATGAGCTAAGATAAGCTGAACTAATTAATGATCATGGTGGTGCAACTAGGCTTTAAACATAAACATTTGTAAATGTTTTATTGCGTTTTTTCATTACAATGAAATTTGGGCCCATAAAAAAAAAAACTGAAAACTCAATAACGCTCCAGTTCGCATCGGACTCGGTTTCTTCGTTGTTCACTCTACCAGTAAAAGGTAGGTTCTATTAGGTTAACACGTAAAATGTAGAGGTATATTTTGAAATATATATACATTCCCAGGGTAGATTTTGAATTTGATACAAGCAGAGAAGAGAAATTGTTTTTCTTGAGAAAACACGTGAGGAAAGTAAACAGATACATTGTCTTAGCACCTTATGCTCAATTAGTTACAACGTTCTGCTAACACTTTTTAGGAAGTGGTTTCCCACAGAGTAACTCATTTCCAATGTAAATGGAGGGATCTTTAAACTTCAGATTCTTAGGTATTCTCCCCTCCAGTTTATTGTACGAAAGATTCAGTGTTTGGAGAAAAGACATTGCTACCAAGCTCTGAGGAATGGCACCAGAAAGCCTGTTTCTTGATAGATCAAGTGTCTCCAAGTGACCAAATTTCCAATTTACTTGGGGGATGCTTCCTTCGATGGAGTTTCTTGATAAATTCAAGATTCGAAGGAAAGAGGAGTCGAAGATTTCAGTTGGGATTTTTCCGTTTAAGTTGTTTCCTGAAAAATCAATGTGTTCAATGTGAACGCAGTTAGGATACAACTTTGGGATATTACCTTCAAATGCATTTTGGTTCAGATGCAAGAGAGTGAGATCGGGTAAGTCACAGAGAGATTCTGGTATTTCGCCTGATATGTTATTCTCAGATGCGTCAATGTAATAAAGCTCGGACGATTCATGCCAGCATTTAGGGAAACTTCCAGAGAAACGATTGTTTCTTATATCGAGGATGTTCAGTCTGGTGGCCTCGCATAGAGACGACGGGATTTCTCCGATGAAGGTGTTGTCAAAGAGGTATAACCTTCTCACTCTTGGCATTAAGACATCAATGTTAAGTGGAAGAGGACCCGAGAAGTTGTTCTGGTGAAGATATATATCTACTGCGGTTGTTGTCCAGAGAGGAAAAGGGCCTTCGATGTTGTTGGAGCTCAAATCAATGGTGTTTAACTTTGGGAAGACAAGATTTTGAGGTAGTGTACCTTTGATTCTGTTGTTGGCTAGAATCAGTTCAGTTACATCAGAAGCTATTCCTGAGAGCCAGCTGTTGGGTAGTTTATCTGCAATCCCATTGTTCCTGAGTGTGACGGAGTTGAGTTTGTTTTGTACTTGAAGCCACATTGGAAACAATGGTCCCATCTGGCAGTTCTCGATGTTGATCTTCTCCAGTCTGAAAGGAGGAACCCATGTCGATGGCAGATTGATGACGAGTGATCTGTTTGGTTCAGTTGTGAGAAGGAAGCTTTTCAAGCTTCTAAGTTTGACGAAATGAGGCTTTAGCAGAACACCTTCCCACCTGTTTGCCATCAAGTTTAGATCCACAAGCTCCTCAAGCTTCCCCAAGCTTGAATCAATTTCTCCGTCCATGGAATTGTAAGAGAGATCAAGTTTCTTCAATGACACCATGTTTCCTACGGAAGAAGGGATCGAACCCGTGAAGGAATTCAATGAAAGATCCAGAATCTGTAGATTCCTCAGTGTTCCAAGCGACTCAGGCAATGTCCCATTTAAATGGTTGTGGTTAAGATTGAGATAGACCAAGATATTTCCTTTGTTTTTGGAGAAGGCCTCAAGAAACCTGTGGATTTGACCTTCGAAATAGTTTACAGAAAGGTCAAGATACTTCAGTTGAGGAAGATCTCCAAATAACGCTGGAATTTCTCCCGTGAGTTCCAGATTATTAGACAGATCTAGCGTCTCTAGAAGCTTCAGGTTCTTGAACCCGGAAGGAATTGAGCCCTTGAGATTAGCAAATTGGAAGAATAGCTTTCGGAGGCTCGTGAGATCAAATATCCAGTTGGGTATTGGCGAACTGAAAGAGTTTTGAGACATATCAAGAACTTCAAGGAGCTTCAGATTCGCAGACGAAGGCAAAGAGAGAGGTAAGTTCTTGAGCTCACAGTTGAACAAATACAACTCCTTCAGGTTCGAGAGTCTACTGAAATCCTGTAAACAGGTTTCACTGATACCACTCAGACTCACATACCCCATGTTTAGGTAAGTAAGTGAAGAAGACAAACCCGAAAGCCACCCAACGTTGCTTGCGCGCAAAGTAAACGAAGTTGGAGCTTCATCATTGTCAATAAACGACTGAGCGTTCAGATCAAGAGTCTCCAGCTTCGACAAATTCCCAAGACTCACAGGAACTTCACCGGAAAACGATGAGAAAGAAAGATTCAGATACCTTAGAGTAACTATTTGGCCGATAAACTCAGGAATCTCCGTGAAGTTGAAATCATTTGAACTCAAGTCCAAATAGCTCAAGAACTTGAGACGGGTCAAAGACGGATGTATCTTTCCCCCTAAGCTACCCTCTTTATGATCATCATGATACTCAAAGATCTTAAGTGTTTGATTTGGGTTTCTGAGGTCAATCTTGATGACATGGCTGGTTCTGTCGTCGCAGAGAACACCGCGCCAGTTGCAGCAATCAGGTCCGGACCAAGAAGAAAGTCGACCAGAAGGATCAGTGAGTGATTGTTTGAAGGTGAGAAGAGCTTTGCGCTCGGTGGATATGCATTTAGGATTAAATGCTGATCCCAAATCAGCTTTTTGGAGAAGAAAGATGTAAATAAGAAAGTAGAAGAAGAAGCTTGGCCTGAGCTTAAGCTTGAGGTCCATTCTTCACTTATGTGTTTGTTGGTTTCCTTATGCTCTCTTCCTTTTTTCAAACGTTAATTTATAGATGTTCTAAACGCAGACATATTAGACCACAATTACATGTATATATTTAAATACGAATACGAACACGTGATAAAATAGCTGGTGTGCATGGAAGTAAGTGCGGTTCGATATTTTAGCATCATTACAAGGCTCGTGGTAGTGTTTCCTAGGACGACCACTCCTTGATCTGATAATAAAATACTAGTGATTATATATTTCCTTAAGATTTGTATATTTGCCTAATACACATGATTTAGTACTAAATGGTTAGATTAATGATTTGTTTACAGCGTCTAAAGTAACTGTACTGGTGTTAACGAGTCCATCTAAATTGGTTACGCGGATTTGAGTAGAGGTATTAAAAGTGCAAAACAATTTTGATCGGTATTCCAAAAAAGTGTGTATTAAGAGCATCTCCATTGGTGATCCCCTAAATGGGGTTTATAGTCTTTTTTTTTTTAATTAATTTTAATTAAAATTAAGAAGTTAAGAACCTTTGAATATTTGGGTGTCCATTGGTGAATTCCAAAATGGGGTTCTTAAAAAAAATTTGAAAATAAATAAAAACATGTTTATTGAAAAACAAATATTAAACATACAATAATTATTCTTGTTAATTACCAAATTTTGCAAATACATTCTCAATTAAATCCTTCTTCAATCGTTCATTAATCCTTTGGTCGCGAAGTTCACTTCGAATAGCAAGCATATTACCTAGATTTGAAGGCATGTTTGTAGAGAACGAGAAATCCACCTCTGAATTTTTGAATACTAAAATCTTATATTTTAATTACATACACCCACCATGCGCAAGGCGCATGTCTTATCCTAGTTGAATGAAAGATCCAGAATATCTACGTTCGTCAAAGCTCTAAGCGACTCAGGCAATGTCCCATTTAAACCAATGGAATAAAGAACGAGATACACCAAGCTATTTCTTTTCTTTTTAGACAGGGCGTCAAGAAGCATGTCGATTTGACCTTGAAAATTATCTACAGAAAGGTCAAGATACTACAGCTGAGGAAGATCTCCAAGAACCGCTGGAATTTCTCGAAAGAGTGCATTATTAGACAGAACTAGCACCTCTAGAAGCTTCAGCTTCTTGAATCCGGAAGAAATCGAGCCCTGGTTATCAACCCATTGTAGGTATAGCTTTCTTAGGCTGGTGAGATCAAATAGCCAGTTGGGTATCAGTGAGCTGAAAGAGTTTCGAGAAAAATCAAAAACTTTAAGGAGCGTCAGATTTGCAGACGAAGGCGAAGAGAGAGGTAAGTTCTTGAGCTCACAGTTGAACAAATGCAACTCCTTCAGATTTGAGAGTTTACTGAATTCCTCTGACCCAGTTTCTGTTGGAGCAAATCAAAGTAGCCGTTGGATGTTTGAAGGTTAGGAAGTAAGTTTGAATTAGTCTTTATGTTATTTTTTTCAGTTGTTGTTCATGGGTAGTGTCAACCAAAATTTTAGGTCCAAGTTTGTTAGTGATGTAGTTGCTTCATTTTAGGATCTACTGTTTTTCATGTAAGACTATTTATAGTCATCTCTTTCTTATCAATGAAACTAGTGTATTATTCAGAAACTGATAGCATTTGATCTCTCAAACTGGTATCAGAGCTCTGTTACTTTCAAATCGAGAAGCCACAGCTTCTAAGAAAACAAGTAAGGAGAGATGGGAATGAGAACATAAAGTTACCCCAATTGGATGGACATTTGGACAATTCAAGTGAAGTCACGGAGAACTTCTTCCAATCCAGAGGTGTGTGGAGCATGATCGAGAGTGGTTATCAGGAACCTCCAACCACGACGGTTGTGACAACGGAGCAGAGGAACCAATTGGACAATGCCAAGAACAACGACTTCAAGGTCAAGCATTACCTCTACCAGAGCATTGATAGAGTAACATTTGAGCAAATCTTTGATCAGAAGACGTCTAAAATCATATGGACTGCATGAAAGAAAAGTTTGGAGGGAATGCTTGAGTGAAGATATCCCTGCTGCAGAAGCTACGAAGACATTTAAAAGTGCTGGAAATGAAAGAGTTTGAAAGTGTGGAGGAGTACTTCACTCGTGTGTTGGCCATCACAATTCAAATGAGAAGCAATTGAGAAACGATGGCTGATACAAAAGTGGTTGAAAAGATTCTCAGGAATCTTAGTGAGAAATTCATGTATGTGGTGGTCTCAATAGAAGAGTCCAAAGACATTGAGAGCATCACTCTGGCTGAACTTTAAAGCTCACTGGTGGTTCATGAACAAAATTTCAAGAGATCAGAGAAGATTGATGATCAAGTATTAAAGGTCACACATGAAAAAGGAACTGGAACGAGAGGAAGAGGCTTCACAGGAAGAAGCATAGGACGTGGGAGAGGCAAAACACCTTTCAACAAAAGCACTATGGAATGCTACAAATGTCGTCGTCTGAGACACTTTCAGAATGAGTGTCCAAAGTTAGATGAAGAATAAGGTAATATGCTAAGGCTTTATAGTCATTGATGAATCTTTTGAGGATCTATCAATGATTAATCTGCTAAGGTTTTACAGTGGCTCTGGTGTAAGTGCAAGATGCAAATAAAATAAGATAATACATAAGGTAAACCAAGAGATAAGTTACACAAGCAAACAATAATAGCTTTATTAGAAATCGCCTTGTACACTCTATTACAAGATCTGTTTAATCAGCTTTACACGTCTAGTGTTAACATCCTAACACACTAAAAGATTTCCCAGCTTACCATTCCAGACAGATAATGGTGCAAACATGACAGAAATGTTGAAAGACATTCTTTGTGTTCACGGTGGGGATTGGTGAATTCAGCATTGATGTATTGGTATAACCAAGAGATGTCAAGTGTTATACCTATAGTAAAAACCGAACAGAGGTACCAGAGGAAACATAGGACTTCTTCTGGCATGTATACTGTTTCGATCCTGTAGAGGTGTGCGAACGGGTAGTCAGGATGAATTCGCATTGGTGAAATGTAGTGATTGTCAGGTCCGTAACTTAACAAGATGATGGATAAGTAGTGAAAAATCTTGTTTAAAAGGTGTTCGTGGAAGGTTTTTCTGAAGATGAGTTCATGAGTGTCTTCTGGCATGTTGACTGTGAAGTCATAGTAGCTTTTTGCAGAGAAGCTCTCCATCATTTGTATTTCTTTGACTGGGTTTCTACTGAGCATATCAGCAAGAGTGTTATTTGATTCCTTTCAATAGACGGATTCGAAATCGTACTTCGAGAACCAGTAGCTCCATCTTAATAATTGTTGATGTGGGACCATCTTCTGCTTGAATTGTAACATCTTTGGAAAAGATGACATATCCATTTCGATGCGAAATTTATGTCCTATCAGATGGAACTCGAACTTCTCAATGGCTTTCTTGACTGCTAAGATTTATTTGAACGTGGAGTGATAATGCATCTAAGAATCTTTAAAGCGTCCTCTTTTGTATCCGCAGATTTGACGTTTCCCATTTATATCTTTGAATAAAAATGCTCCCCAATATTTTTCACTTGCGTCAGTTTGTAAGATATGCATGCCGGTGGAGGGAATCTTTAAAGGCGGTAGCTTCTGCACCTCTATTTTTTAGGTTTCCGACAGCTTCAGTTTGTCGATTAGTCCACTGTGGTGGATTCTTTGTCAGCATCTTCTGTAGCGGTCACGTCAGTTGCGAAGGTTGCGAGATAAAGTCGCTGAAATAATTGATTACGCCAAGAAATTTCTGCACTTGTCGTTTCGTGAGATTTTCGTCAAGAAAATTGAGGAGAGTTGTAGCAAGATGAGCCTGAGGTGAGAAAATTCCATTTTCGATTTGCATTTAAAGCAATCTATGTTGGGCTGGGCTATGACAATCTTGCGGGCCGAGAGCATGATTCCATATTATATCACTATGCTCTGGAACTTTTGAAGAAGTTGGACGTGTTCCTTTTCAGTTGACAAATGTTGGTGTCAAAATCGGTCACGACGGAATCAATGGCTAAAAGTCTCCGCAAAAGTAAAAATAAAAATACGTTTTATAAAACTCGAGAGATCGTTTTATAAAACTCGAGAGATCGTTTTATAAAACTCAAGAAATCGTTTTATAAAACTCGAGAAATAGTTTTATAAAACTCGAGAAATCGTTTTATAAAACTCGATAAATCGTTTTATAAAACTCGAGAAATCGTTTTATAAAACTCAAGAAATCGTTTTATCAATCCAAAGAGATTTCCGAACAAAGGAAATCCGCGGAAAACTCGGAAGATCGTTATCTCGGAAAAACAAAACAAACGTCGATTACCCGATCATCTGAATTAAGCACAAAACCGCAAAAAACCGACACCGCCGTAAAACGCGAACTAGTCTCATCCTGACTAGTTCGCCCAACGGCGAACTCGTCTCGTCCCGACTAGTTCGCCCAACGACGAACTAAGCCAGCCGGCTTAGTTCGCTGTTGGGTGAACTAGTCTTGTCCCGACTAGTTCGCCCAAGGGCGAGCTAAGACAACCGGCTTAATTCGCCGTTGGGCGACCTAGAGCTTCCCAAGAGGAGCTGACTTTGCCCCGAGGGTTCTTATCGCCTAGCTCGCCAAACGGCGACCTGGCCAAGCTGAACTAGCTCGCCGTACGTCGAGCCGACCATCCCGAGCCTCGATCTCCCACATCCTTGATTCAAGGCATACGTCCTTCGACACGATCGTATTCCGAATCACGGTCGAAATATCTCCCGTTTCGTCTTGATCTGTCATATCGTACGAGTTTTACGAAAAAAACCGTAAAACTTTGTTTTCTCGAAAAGAACTCGAGGAAATCGTATAAAACGGCAACGTTTAAACGAAACACCGAATATTGCCTATACTATACGATTTATTCGAGATTTTTCGTAAAAATTGTACAAAACACGTTTTTAATAAAACCCCGAGTAAATCGTAGAAAACGGCAACGATTAATCGAAACATTGAACATTGTCAGCTTTACGATTAACTCAA